CATTTGCAGTCTCTACCTCGATTCCGCATCCTCATTTGAGGAGGGTGACTCCTGGATGTGCCTGTCCCTCTGTAGCTTGATTAGGGCCAGGCACAAAGATAGGGGGCAGTGAGGTCGGGTGGATCTGCCATTGTTGGTCCAGATGGCTGGTTTCTGTGAAGGGCAGTGAAGGGCAACCTAGGTAACACGGGTGGGGCAGAGTGGGTCTCAGGAGAGGGTCCGCCTTCAGTGGGCCAGACGAATTGAGCACCCTGGGTGTGGAGCCTTCTGCAGCACAGTCGGCCTGGAGGCGTCTGCAGTCACGGGTGGTAGAGAACGGCATCAGACCACAGCCCCAGGACAGGTATTGTAACAGGGCTCTGCAAAGTGAGGGGAGGTGGACTTAGATTGGAGGATTGAGGAAGGTTCTGAATGGATGTGACACTGGGTCCAGGAAGTTTGGGCTTGATTTCAGCAAGTGGAGATTTAGAGACAAAAAATAGAAATAGGCAGGGGGCAAAACACAGGACTTACTGGGGGGACTCTCAGATCATCTGTCCTCTGATGGGGACACACGGTGGAGTGTCAGGTGCGGTTTGTCAGGCAGACTGTGAATGTCCTGTAGCAGTAGAGAAGGATCTGGGGTCCTGGGTGTGGCCTTCACTCTGGAGGAGGCTGGTGGAGTGATTGTATGTGTTCAGTGGAAGCAGGTGGGTAGGTGCTCTAGGCTGGGAACTGGTCTTCCAGGGGTGCACGTGAGGGGCGGGGTGGGGAAAGGCTTGTGCAGAGCACAGGACCCATCTGTACCTGCATCTCTGCCCCTTGCTCTTATCCACTTTCAACCCACTTGATTTTGCTGTCCACCTCTTCTTTGTCCAAATGACCCTGGTGCATGCCTACTATCCTGGCCAGCTTCCTGGACCAGCTGCTATGGTTACCCAAGTCCTCAGCTCCCTGCTAGGGAGCTCTGTGGTCTTGGGCAGAGCTCCTGATGTTGAAGGCCTTATCTCCTCTGGACTTTGTACAGTGGAGATGATTCTACCTGCCTGTGTATCTCAGCTAAGGTGACAATAAAGCGAGGCAGAGTGTGTCAAGTGTATTTTAAGGCCCCAGCCCGCTGTGGGGCTCCTGTCTTTGTCTGACTTTGGGAAAACCCTTCCCCAGTCTCCAGAAATGTTCCTCCAGAAGGAGGGGATGTGTCACCTGCCAGCTGTCAACCTGATGCCATGGAAAATTCATATTGATGAGGCACAGACTGACGGCCTGCTTGCTGCCATCTGCAGACCCACCACCAGGGCAGTGTTGGAGGTGGCAGGGGTGGGACTCCCTTTTCCTAGCCAGTTCCAATTTGCTTTTTAATTGGCTCCAGGATGGTGAGTCTGCTGGGGTCAGCCTGTGACCTCTTCCTTCCCAGTAGTCTCCTTCTTTTCCAGACTCACAGGTGTGCTCACAGCCTGTTCATCAACCCTGGGCCACTTCCTCTTCCCCAGCATCTCCGAGAACTTACTATTTACCTTCCAACTTTGTGCCCTGCCTCTCGCCCACATTGTTCTGCCCTTTCCTGTTGGTACCCTCTCTGGTCTTCATCTGCCGACTGCTCTGCTTTCTTCTTTTGCTGGGGTTTTGAATCACCCCTTAATAGACTTCTCAGTCTGAAGCCTGGGTTTCCACGTTCCAGGCCTCTCCTCAGGTGGCCCTTTGTTCTCTCACTGTCCCTTACTGCTCTCTCCAGGCTCAGTCACGACTGCCTTGACCTCATCTAACAGCTCTGTTCCTGTCCTACCATCGCAGGGCATCCGTCCAGCCCTGCCTCTGACCACGGGTCCTGGGCCACCCGTGTTGGGGTTGCCCGTGCTCCTGCCTCGTGTCCAGCCTGAAGCTGCTTCAGAGCAGCAGCAGCTGATTCATCGGAGCCTCCTGCTGTGCCTGGCACCATGTCCTGTGTGGAGTGAACAAATCCCAAAGAATCCCAAATCCAAAGGGTTCTCATTTGAACTCTTGAACTGAAAAACTGCCCCCCCCCCTTTTAAATTTTCCCAAACAACATTCTCATCTGTTTCTTTCCCCAAAGTCTCCTCATCTCCATTTTTATCCCATAGAACTTCTGACTCTCAAAATATAGGTTGTGATCTTTTAAAGGGAGCCCGTCACATCCCCGTTTAATAAGCCCGGGGGTTTATAAGTTCACCACGACACAGGCCCTTGCTGCCTCTCTTCTTCTCCTTCCTTCCGAGCGGGAACCTCAGGGTGTCAGATAGATGCCTGAAAAAAGCCAGAGGCTGCGGGTGGGAAATGACTTGGTTACGAAGCGGGGCTTTCTGTGGGCATCGGACCTGCATTGTCGTGTGGCGGAGCGTGTGCTTCTTCATCTCTGCTCCTGACCCGGAGCTAAGCTTGCTCAGAAGCTCATCTGCCACCCACGGTTGACTCTTTTGCAAAGAAGTTGTGGGATTTCTTGGGTTTCTGTGGTCACCTTCTCATCATGAGAAATAGTAATAAAAATAATTCCTTACACTTGTCTTTCCTCAACTGGCATTCAAGAGGATTTGCTATGTTCCTGGCACTCTGCCAAAAGTCAGGGACACAATCCACTGGGGGACGTTGTCACCTTCCTCTACGTTCCCTTCGTACCATTCTGAAGGTTGGACACAGAGCAGGTGGTCATGTCTACATTTTATAGATAAAGAAACGGGAATCCAGAGTGTTTCCAGAGTGCCCAGAAATTTAGAGCCCTTGTGTTATGGTTTGGATGTGAGGTGTCCCCCAAAAGTTCACATGTGAGACAGTGCAAGAAGGTTCAGAGGAGAAATGATTGGGTTGTGAGCATCCCCATGAGTCTTAACCCAATCAGTGAATTAATCCCCTGATATGGATTAACTGAGTGGTTACTGAAGTGGTAGGGGGTGGCTGGAGAAGGTGGGAATTAGGGTGTGGCTTTGGGGTGTAGATTTGTATCTGGCAAGTGGAGTCTCTGCTTCTTGATCACCGTGACGTGAGCTGCTTCCCCCTGCCGCACATCCGCCATGATGCTCAGCCTCACCTCCAGCCCCGAGGAATGGAGCCAGCCTTTATGGACTAAGACCTCTGAAACCGTGAGCCCTCAGATAAACTCTCCCTCCTCTACAGTTGTTCTGGTCAGATCCTTAGTCACATAGGGAAAGAGCTGACTAAAACACCCTGTTTATGGTCACTCAGCAAGATGGAAGGTGGAGAGCCAGGTTTAACTTCTGTCACATGCTGGGAGCCTCGGCTGGGCCTCTGCACCCATTTCCATGAAGAGGTGACAGCGTTTGCTGCTAGAAGACGCCTTTCCTTAGTTGGCTTCCAGCTGACGCGGATCTAAATCCAAGAATTTAAGCTAAAAAGGGAGACTTTGAGGTCTGATTCTAGATTCCTATCCAGACTTCAGGAGAGGCTGGGAGCTGAGCCACAGTGGGGTAAGGATCCCTGCAGATGAGACCTTATCCCAAAGGGACGGTCAGAATACTCTCTGTGCTGTCGTTGGCCGGGGCAGGTGCACTGGATGACGGGCTCTGATGAACAGTGTCTCCCAAGAAGTGAGAGAGCCTCACAGCACCAGTTCACCTCCCTTCTACCTGCTTCACCCTACCTCAGAGAGTCTCCCTGGGCAGCTGGGGGGGCGCCCTTGAGGGCCTGACCTGCGAATGAGGGACGGTTTGGGAAGAAGAGAGAGGCTGAAGGTGTTGTCTGGAGATAATAAACTCCTTGGGTAGTGGTGGATTTTAACTTTACACATTGAGTAATATGAATTCACCCCACACTCCAAATTTAGAAAACACAGATATGTTTAAAGGGAAAAAAGTCTGTAGTTTCACTACTCAGAACTGAATGCTGTTAACATTCAAATGTACAATCCCCATTTTCTCAGGCCACTCTTTCTAAAAATGACTTATAGTATATGCTATTTTAGCTTTTCATTGGTATTGAGGCTAAATACAGACTGTGAGTGCACACATTTTAAGTGGGCAGCTCAATCCTTTTTTACATATGTCTGGGCCAGTGTGACCACCATCCAGATCAAGGTCTAGAACATTCTCAGCTTCCCAGAGGGCTCCATATGCCCTTCGTCATAGTCCCCCTGCCCTAGAGGGAACCATTATTCTCATTTCTGTTCCAATATGTTGTCTTAAAATTTGTTTTTTTCTACCCTGCAATAAATATCACACCATTTCCATGTCACTCATCCCCATCATTGTCACTATCATTACCGTTACTGTCACCATCCTCATCAGTCATAATGGCAGCACAGGACTCTATGATGTTGACAAACCGCACATTTGATGGACCTGAAGCCAATGTCTTAGGGACACTTACTGCATTGTCTCCCCCTGTCAGGAGTGCAGGTGTGTGACAGCAGGGTTCCAGAACAGGCTGCAGGGTCAGGGGCTGGCTCACTTAGTGTCTTTGGATGTGCCTCAGTGTGTTGCCGTGACATCCCTGGGTGTATCTGAATGGGCATCCGACATCCCAGCACTTGGTGTGAGGTGTCTGTGGGAGAGCAAGTTCTAGAAGCTATCTCATTCCATTCCTCAGCTGCCTTCTGAAAAAGCCACTTTTTTTCTTTTACCTCAAAAAGTGACATTTATTCAAAAAAAAAAGAAAGAAAGAAAGGAAAAATGACAAGATGCCCATCCCTTGGCTCCCTTCCCTCCCCCTTCCAGCTGTTCCTTACCCCCAGGACTGAACCCTGGCTGGAGCTAGGTAGCAGGACAGCCCCTCTCAGATGAGGTCAGCAACACTGAGGGGCATCTCTTCAATGAAGGTGTTGTAGAAGGTCTCCTTGTCTCAAAGAGTCCTCTGTCTTCTCTGTCACCATGTTAATAGCCACACCCTTATGGCCAGAACGCCCACCTCGAACAATTCTGTCCCCTGTTGGTGGGGAGGTCATAGTTGATGACTGAAGAAACCTGCTGCACATCAACGCCTCTGGCCTGTGCCAAGAAGGATGGCCAGTTCAGCCTGTGAATTGAGATATGATCCATCCAGAGGGACTTACATATGCAAGTAGGCAGCCAAAGGAAGGCAAAAGAAATCAAGTATCCTGTGTCTCCCAAAGACCTTAGGCATGCAGGTCTTCTTCCAAGTTGCTACTTTCCTGAGAGGCACTAGTGAAAAGGCCACTTTTCAAAGAGGACTTCATTGGACAATTTGAACACCTGAGTTTGAGAGAGGTTCTTTTAAGATGACGTTGGTGAGCAAGGAAAGTAGCCGATTTGATGGCTGGAGTCATTGTGAAGACATCGATGAGAAGGAGATGAATCCACGGATCTCCCCAGAAACACCCCACCTGGTGCTGAGCGGCCAAGCCTTAGCAGGATACTGGCATTGGCCATGCCCATTGAGATGCCCTCTCCTCTTCCCCTTCTTCTGGTTTAGTTTGTGGGGATTTTCCTACCACAAATACTACAACCACCACTCTGATTGCCATGAAAGTTTGAGCACGCCAATCTGGAATCCAAAATACAAAACTCTGAGTGCGGACACGAATCTACACGGTGCCTTCTGATGGTTCTTTGTACATGAAGTTTGTTTCATGCACAAAATTATTTAAAATATCGTATAAAACTATCTTCACGCAGTGTACCTAAGGCAGACATGAAACACGAATGAATCTGGTTCCCATTTGGGTCCCATCCCCAAGATATCTCCTGTATACATAATTATTTCAAAACTGATAAAAGCCTCCAATCTGAAACACTTCTGGTCCCAAGCATTTTGGATGAGGGATGCTCCACCTGTCCTGCTCTCATTATTATCACTCATGACAGGAAAGTCGCAAAAGTCTCCACTTGTGGTTTATTTGAAAGAGCAGGGGAATACAGAGCACTTTGGCTGCGTAGGATGCTTTACCTGTGCACCTTCCTCTATTCCCCACAGCCCTGGAGGCAGCTGCAGTTGCCGTGGGTGCAGGCCGTGGCCGTGGGTGCAGGCCGTAGTCGATGCAGCCGAAAGCTAAGCAGGCAGAAGGGAGCGTGTGAGAAACGCAGGAGCTGGGGCGCGATCCCCAAGCTTTCTGATCCTGGAGCCTGTTTTTCCCACTCTGCTGGAGCCTTAGTGACTGAGTGGACCAACCAACCTGGCACACTGACGTACTGACTTTCAGAAAGTATGTATTTGGATGATGGTGCCAGAAGGGAAATATTCTTACATTTAAAACCCCCTTTCATGCCCCAATAAGGTGCTCTCACACCTTTGTGTCTGGGAGATCCATGTCGGCAGTGGTGACTCCTATCACCTATAACTCCTATAACTCCAATTACACATTGTCGTTACGATGCACGTGCCAGATTTCCTCAAGGTCGATTTGGGCCTTGGGCACGTGGGTATGACGTTGGTTTGCTCTTTAGGGTAACATTACTGTGGTCCAGAGAGACAAGTGTCCTAGGGAAGACAGAACTGTCTCTCTCAAGACAGCCTGTACCATGGCTCTGTTGTCAGAGCCCAGCGAACTTTCCATTTCTCTGGCCCCCACCATCCCAAGAAGGAGGCTTTCTGCTTTGTGGACCAGTGTGTGGCTGGAAGGGAGACAGGAAGAAGAGTGTTCCTCCCTTTAAGGGAATCTGGAGTCCCCCAGGACACTTCTGCCTCCATCCCATGGTCCAGTGCTTTGTGTGAATGTCGGACCCTCATGGGATCTACCTGGTAGGGCCTTGTCATGAGGTCAAGGGAGCTAATGTGAGGGAAGTGCCCAGAACAGTGCCGCCATCAGTGTTGGCTAATGCTGCCGTGGTCATATCTGGGTTCTGAGCCCATCCGATTGGGCAGGCCTTTCAATTATTTCAGGCTTTGTGCCCTGTCACCTGGTGTGGACAGCAGCTGGCGCCGGTGATGTCCATGAAGAAGATGCTGATGATGGGGCCGATGTTGATCTCTTAGTAAGTGACGGCCACATGCTGATCACTAGGCTGACACCTGGTTTGCACAGTCTCATGTAATCATTGATATAGGTATGGGCATGGCCCCCGTCTTACAGATAAAAGGTCTAGGCTCAGCAAGAGACGGATTGACTTGCTCAAGATCACTCAGAAGTGAGGGCAGGGGTTGGGACCCAGTGTCTAATTTGGCTTGTCCTCTGCTACTGTATCCTTCCAGCATTCTGCCTCCGAGTTTCCTCTCCTATTCGAATGGTCAGCTCGGTCATGTACTCAGTAGTGCATTTTTTTTTCCTGCAAATGACATAATTTTATGGTTGAGTAAAACTCCATTTTGTATGTATACCACATTTTCTTTATCCATTCATCCATTGATGGACATCTAGACTGGTTCCACTGTTTGGCGATTGTGAATTTGCTGCTAATAAAACATGGGTATGAATATATCACTACAGTACGGTGACTTTAATTCTTTAGGATGGATGCTGGGGAGTGGTAGAGCTATTTTGATGCTACTCTTGATGACAATCCTAATTATCATTCAACTTTTTTACTGAAAGAGAAGTACTCATCCTTTGACTTTACCTGTGTCAGTCATACCTGGGTTTAATGCCAGGGGTGTTTTTGTCAGGGTATCAAAAACACGCAGACAAGTAAACCCAACCACCCGTTTTATTGCCATTTAAACACTGTCCTGATGAACGGTGGGGACGGAGACAGTGGTGGGGGTGGATGAATGGACTGTCAAGGAAAACGAGTAAAACTGGGCCCCGTATTGGCTTGCAGTCCAACGGTGATTTGTAGCCAGTGAGTCTTTCTCCCTCTTCCTGGAAGGCCATAATTAACTCGGGTCACCCCTGAGAGCCATTTACTAACATAATCAACCCATTTGCACAGTTATTGGCCAGAGAAACAGCCCCGGATGATAGAATCCCCGCCTTAAGTGGTCGCAATTTAGTTTGTCCTCTGAAAACTCCAGTGGTTTCCATCATCTCCCGTGTCCCGGAAGAATCTCTGCCTGAATTTTTGCTGTGGGCTGGCTTCGGAACTCACGGTTCTTGTTGAGGAAAATTTGTCACTCATCAGTGACGCCTGGAGATGGTGGAAAAAAACGTAAGCACGAGGAAGACGCACTGCAGGAGCTAATTAGCAGTGCTCAGGAAAATATGAGCAGGGCGTAGTCAGAGCTTCAGCTGGGGACACCTGTAGGTGACAGTTTGGGGCCCAAGTGGCCCTTTAGTACTTTCTCTGAGGTTCTCATCCAGGGAGAAGGACTGTAATGATCGTGACTGGTTGAGAGCTTGGCAGGTGGTGGTAAGAGGCCTGCTTACTTGGGTATGAAGTGGCGGTGGATGTGCATGGCTGATTTCAAGATCTCAAGCCTGCAGATGCCTGCCACTTGGGGCAGACTGGGATGGGACACCTCCTTGCCTATTGGAGGATTTGTACCCGAGACTGGAGTGTCAGAGGGTGGACGCTGGGACTGTTCCCACATATCGTCCCCTCCAGTTGACTCTGTCCCAGTGCTCTGGCCTCAGGAGACTGGTCACTCCAGCAGGGGATAGTGTTCGCCAGAAAAGCAAGACCTCTCCACAAGCAGGAGTGGAGATTATTTCTGTCTTGAATGGGACAAACACTGTTCTTTTGATTTCTGTATTAAGATTGGTATCTTTGGAGTCTATTGAGTCTATTTTAGGTGCACTATTTTATGGAACCCTACGGCCTCCTGTGAGTGGAATGTGGGGCTGTGGTAGAAATGGTATGGAACAAGCCTGGGTTCAAATCCCACCTTGATCTCTTATCAGCTGCAGGATTTTGTTGTCGTTATTTTTACTTGTTTTTAAAAATCTCTTAGAGGCTTAATTTCCTCATTTTTAAAAGGGGACAGTAATCTCTCCTTTTGGAACGGCCATGGGGATTAATGATTGGTTCATCTGAAGCACTGGGTCATCTGTGGGTTCTCAGTAGGCTCCAAAATAATGATTATTTATATTATTATTATTTGTTATAGAAGAGAAAACAGAGTCACAGAGTGGGTGAGGGGCTCCTTCTGGTCCCCTTGGTGTGCAATGGCTGTGAGACCCACACTCCACATCCTAAGTGCCACGTTTTGTCTGGGAGTGGTGCCTTCCCGTCTGGGTCTCCTGAGTACCTTCCCATCTGACCAAGGGCAGCCAGGAACTGGTTTTAGTTCTGCCCCTGCCACTCCATGGCCGTCTCGGTACCTCCCCTGCAAAGCAGAAGTACCACACCGTTCCTCTCCGCCTCCCAGTGTTTGGAAGATGAGCCACAGGAGTTTCACATTTAAAGTCAGTCTGACCAAAATATCGTGTACACCTTACCAACGCTTTACCAATATCCTGCCTGCAAAAATAGCCCTCTGCTATGTTATTCCAGAAGGTGGTAACCAGCTGTCCATCACCCACTCCACATGGGACTGTTAGGCTCAGCATGTAACTGAAGTGGGTGAGACACTGTTTAACCCTTTAGCGCCTGTCTCATAGGCCACCTCTGTATCCGGCATATCCCAGGCCCCCGGCAGCCCAGCTGGAAGTGGGAGACCCTTGGCTGTGGCTCATTTGCAAGCTCCAGCTTGAACACATGGTCTCTGGTGCAAAGCAGAACCAGGGTCCCACTGTCAACATCTTGGCCTGAGCCTGAGGCAGGGGACTGGGGACATAGCAACTTCACCGTGGGCAGGCAGTGACTTAAAACAATCTATGCCGTCTTTGGCAAAGGAGAGGGGGTCCCTTGGCCCGTTTACGGGCAATGGAAAGAGAGCAAACCTCTTTCTCATGTTTTCTCTTCATCTCATGGGCCCAGAAGCACAGGGTGCGCTTGTTGGAGAGCATAGGGGCTAAGAAGATGAGAAGGGGGATAGGAAGAGTGAAAGGATTGGGATGGATATCCAGATGAAGCTTGGTTTTTCAAGACTTCAGTTAGCCACAACTGTCAGGAATTTCACATAGCCCCCAGCTACTGCAGTTCACATTATAAACTCTTCCAATTACCTGAAATCTCACTTAACTTAAATTCCAGCACATCCCCTGGGGCATTCAAATAATCAAAGTTTGCCTGTCGAAAGTAATGTGGAGAGGGAAAAATGGGATGGTGAGTCTGAGAAAGGTAGATCATAAAAAAATTCCTCTTAGAGAATGGCATCAGAATCATTAAGCCACCAACTTGAAATTGTTGAAATGTTATCTGAAAATTACAGAGGCCAACACAGATTTAGAAGAGGGCAGTGCAGGGCGTGCCCACCTGACCAGGGCT